AACAACCCAAACGCAGAAAAGCCAAACCAAGTTCACTTCTGTGACAACTTATGAGGTGAAACGAATGTTAAAAACTTCTTACCATCCTGGCGATGTCAGAGAAAAGTCCGACTCTGGCTGCAGGAGCTTGATAGCAACACCCCCCCTCTCCTCTGTCTGGCTCTTTCACTTTTTTTCACACTCACATTTCATTGGCTCCCGTTTGCCCTGCTGAGCCGAACAGGCTGCATTCTCCACAGTCTTCTGACAGCTGTGAACTTCACTCATCCTGCACATTTTCTCACATCTGGCCCAGTCACTTTCACTATCCAGCGTCAAACTTGGGGGATCACAATGACAGAAACATGTTGAAACATCCATTACTGATTAAAAAGTGAAGGGATTAATCAGAACCTGAAGTATATTTATATAGGCAGTGTGCTGAAGCAGCTTAAATGAAGACTTTTATATAGAAAGTCTCAAACATTACATAAGAAGCTTCTATCCAACACAAATCTGTAAAACAGCTGAAACACTGAGTTCCTTTACATCAGTGTTTCTAAAACTTTTTCAGGCTGAGGACCATTTAACAAACACTCAGACCACCTAACATAAAATTACCCCGCAACATCTTAGTTTATATAACCTGAGATGGAAATATTAGTCTCTTAACTCATCGTCTATGATGCTGTTTAACAAATGTGACCAAAATAAAGATTCTCAAAGTATAAGCGTCCCAATGATAGAAAATACAAGAAATTTAAAAAATGTCTTTACTGTGTGAACTAATAACGTTTTAGGGATATTTGTAATTCAGAATAGACTTCAGTTACTCTAGCGAAAACGAACATTTTCTGTCAGACAGTAATCCAACATAAGTCATTTTATTTTAGGTGTTAAGATGCAGTTAGTCAGCGTGGGGCGCAACGTTGTTCATCGTCACCATCAGCACAGCCGCAGCCTGGATCTGGCTGCATGCGGCAAGCTGTGTATCAAATAGTGTTTAAAATAGTGTTTAAACACTATTTCTTTTTAATAGTGTTGAAAAACAGAAGTTCTGCAACTCACCCTGAGAAACTTTCCACTGGTATCTTCAGGTTTTCTTAACAGGTGTTACACCAAAATCTGTGACCCATCATTTTCTGTGACTGCAGGGGGCGATAGCGTGCAAATAGGTTTGTAAGACCAGCGAGAAGAAGAGTATTTACGTAAACTGCATAAATACAGCTTACCGTCGCGTTGATGGAGAAAATATGATGTATTACTTTGCATTTGAGGCTGAACACTGTTTGCCAGACCATCGCATTGAGTTTGTTGTCGTTATGTAAACCAACTGTGGCCGTTTAATAAATCGGTAAACAATTAAACGATTTTAAGTGCCGTGCTAGTTTTCAACACGGCTGAAATAATATTTAACCCAGGCTCACACTGGTTGCAGATTATGATGGCCAGAATAATTCACAGATTTTGGTGTAACATTGTTCTCAAGCCTTTTACCCATGACTATTTTTAAACACAGTCCTTTGGGAAGCTAACTGTAGGCCGCTTACATCGTAGCATAGAGAAAAACTTTAAAGTTTTGAGATTAATTTCACATATTTTCCAGAGGAAACATGGACATTTTCTAACATCGTAAAGCTGGGAATGTTCAACTTCTGAAAATTTTCTGAGTTTCAAAGTTTTCAACTTTTCGAGCTCAGAAATGTTATGTTTTTCTAGAAAATTTCTGAGTTTTTTTGGTGGACATTTGCTAAATTTTTTTCAAACCACTTTGGCCTGTTTTTAATCAGAACGCATTGAATCTGACTATATTGTTTTTTTTCTTTGATCAAACTGAATTGTGTTAAATTTGTAATGGATTTTCTCTGTCTTGGACGGTGAGATCTATAATGTATAGGCACACAATAAATTCTTTAATGCACTTGACTCTATAATAGGACTTACTGAAATATATATAAAGAAACGATTTTGCAGCAAAAGGCGTCTAAAAATTCTTCTTTCAAAATCTAATTTCTGCAACATTTCAACTCAAACTGTGCGTTTTTCTGCCCTTTGCAATAAAACTCATTTATAAACCATGTGCAAATAGAAAAGGTTGCACCAAGTCTCTTGCACATTTAATGATGCATGAAAAAAGAACACGTTGTGAAAATTTGAAGCTGGAGCGTTGTGCCAAGCAGCAATAAATGTGCTCCACTCTCATCTGTATTCCACCAGCTGACAGCCCTCCATTAAAAATCACATTCTCTCCACAGAAACCTTAAAATAATCCATGTAACCAACCCAGTTATCGTGCTGTCAGGGAAAACATTACTCTTAATTTTTCTACTTTTTGTTTTTTTGAAGAGTTAGATTTTTTTTTAAAGAAAATGTAAACAAAAAACAATTTCTGACACCCAAATATCAACACACATCTGCTTTGAAGAGTGTCACATTACTGATAACACTGATTTTAATAAGAGCAATTATTGTTTAAATAGGAAAACTTTTATTTATATTTTTCTCTAAATTAAATGCAAATCTGCTCTGTATCTTCCTCTAAAACAGATAATACCCTCAACTTAGCATCAGGCATCAACAATTCATAAATTAATAGTATTGACCTTTTGCACGTGACGTCACGCTCTCCAGAACTCCGCCCACTCCGCCATGACGCACGTCAAAACAAGCAGCAGCTGGTCTAAAAACAGACATCTGTAACCTAATATCTCTTCTATCTCGTTGATTTCACTTTAAAGATGGTAAAAGGAAGCTTCGCAGTCGGCTGCACAAACAGACATGGATGCAAACCAAACTTGTTATTTTATTGCATAACTTTTATTGTGTATAATAAAAGCCGTAAATCATGACTGGCAGCCCTCGGTGTAATCGCGGCTTTGCAGCGAATAATTTTTACGAGGGAAGACCACTAACGTTCATATACTTATTAGAAAGATGTAAAATATCGGAGAAGGTACGGGTCTAACCGTAACCATGGAAACAGTGCCGCACCGTCATGTAGCCTTTCTGGAAAAAAAAAAAAACTGGTTAGCATCTCGTCTTTTGTACGTTTTTAAGTCTGCTACGGTGGAAGGGGGAACGCTGTTTATGACATAGTGATGTAAATAATGTGTGAATTCAGGCAAAGTTGGTAATTTGATCAACACGTCAGGAAGGAGGATGTATGGGTCGCTTTCTAAGCTAGCTATTGAAGAGCTTTAAGAGCCAGACTGTGAGCCCCAACCAGGTGTTTTACGTTCACAGACAAATTAGCTCGACTCAAACAAGTGGAAGCTACGAAAAAATTGGCCAAAACAAACTGGGAAAATAATTTCAGTCGCTCTGTTCAATACTCCCGATCCTCATTTCCGGCGTCCATCATGGCGCTTCAATGATTAAGTGACGTAGTTGCAAAGGTTAATAGAACAAACTTTATGGCAAGCCGTTTTAACATAAATTCGGTTTCGTCTGACTATCCGAAATTACATTCCAGATATCTAAAAATGCATTTTGACTAGACAAAACTACATTTTGACTATCCGGAATGGCAATTTAAGATATATGTATTCTGACATTCTGACTAGTAAAAATGATAATTCAAGATATCTTCAATTACATTTTGACTAGTCAAAATTCCTTTCAAGATATCTCAAATGACATCACTGGATCTGTCATTTGACGGGAGACATATCCGTAATTACGATTTAAGATATCTTCAACACAATTATGACTAGTCAAAATTACAATTTTAAATATCTGAATTAAGAATGACGTGGAAACCCCTTTGTGGTGTCCAAACAGTTGCCTGCAGAATTTTATGTTTCCTGCACAAAATTGTCAGTAAATGTCACAAACTAGAAAGAGCTCGACAATGTTGGAAATGCAGCGATAGCAAAACTTCATAAACTATAAGACTGTTTCTGATATCTGCAAAGAATTTCCTGTTTAATCATTATCAATGAACCGAATGCACTTAAAAACAGCTTTGAAAAGCTAAAATTGCTATTGTCAAACCATTTTCAACATGAAAGTGGCGCATTTTCAAACATCTTCTTTTGTTTTCTCTATTTTTTATTGTTTTATTAAACTTTCAAATTGCTACGTAAGTCAGGGACGTTTTGACTAGACAGAAAACTAATTCAATTCAAGATATCAGTAATGTCATTCTGACTAGTCGGAATGTCAATTTAAGATATCTTAAATAGAAAAGCTGTGTAATTCAAGATATCTCAAATTCATTTAGAGATATCTTAAAAGGAATTTTGACTGGTCAAAATTACAATTCAAGATATCTTTAATTTAGTTTTGTCTAATCATTATTTGCTTTTAAGATATCTATAATGTAGTTTTCACTAGTCAAAACTACATTCCTCCGATCCAAAAATACATTTAAGATGTCTTGAATTATGGAGTCATTAGAGATATCTTTAATTAAAATTATGACTAGTCAAAAACCAAAATCAAGATATCTTGAATTTACTTTATGACTAGTCATAATTTAATTGTAGATATCTGAAATGTTTATTTCAGATTGTCAGTAATTCATTGTAGATATCTTGAATTGAAGTCTCCATACAAGTCAATGGTAAATTTAATGTCATTTTGACTAGTCAGAATGTAATTAGAGATATCTCAAATAGTTATTTTGTCTAGTCAAGATATAATCAGAAATATCTTAAATCGCTAAAATGTCTAGTCACAAAACAATTTGAGATATCTAGAATATAAGAGCGGTAAAACCGAATTTATGTTATAACGGCTTGCCATACAACTTTAACAATACCATTTACACAGCAACCCAGAACAAGAATCAAACATGGAGAACCAACATTTAGTTTTATACCTCTCTAATCCAGAACAAATTTAAGATCCAGAGAAACCCATATTGGATATAAATTATCGACTTCTTATTCTTATTAAACACAGGAAACCAATATTTAGTCTTGTATTTTTTTTTTGCTGTTACCCTTACCTGTTGTCTTTTTTTTTTTTTTTTTGTTTTTTTTTTTTTTCCTTTTAATTCTTTTAAAGCACTGTGTTGCTGAAAAAGTGCTATGCAAATAAAATGACCTTACATTAAATAAGAGAGACTTCAAACATAAACATTGCTTTGTGTTAGAGGATTCTGTGTTTTAATACCGACTACTAGAGCATTTCTACTATTAGTTTTTGTGTTGCTAAGGTAGAGAAGAGTGATGTAACACACAGTGATCCAGTATGACAGGAAAAAAACATAGTGGAGCGTAAAAAATACCTCAGGAAGGGAACAAAGTGTCTCCAGGCCCAAAAAAATCTTTATTGTGATGAATAAACTTGATGGACAAGAGAATATTAAATCGAAGGAATCATCATCATGATTAAAAAACTGAACACAATTATTTTTATTTTTACATTGCATAAATCCTGGGGACAGAAGTTTATGGAAATCAGCACATAAATCAAATCAAGTGACTCAACTAGTGGATCCAAGAAAAGCATGGAGGCAACAGTAACGAGCAGATGATGCTGATGTGTTCTGACAGAGAGATATGGCTTCAAGAGAGGAAATAAATAGCAAGGAAGACAGAGAACACAACATCAAGACCTCATAAAGTAATGGTTAAAGGTGCAGTATGTAAATTTTATTAGAAAATAAATGTTTCTTACATATTTATTAAAATTTTTACCCTGTTGTGACAAATAATCTGGGAAAATATCGAACCTTGAGCTACTATTGCTGAATAAATGAACCGCTTCCAACCAAAAACAACCAATCAGAGACAGGAGGAGGGCCTTAGTGCTGTCAATCGTCCTCATAAACATGCTGCTAAATGTGCAAATGGCAGAGAAACAATGTATCGTGACAGGAAAACCGTTTACCTGCCGTCAGTGGGGGCTATGCTTACGCCTGCCGCAATAAATCAATTAATTGCACAATAAAGTGAACTCAATAATTTCCATTTGTTTTTCTCTTTTTCTACTAAAAAGTGGATGATAAAAGTCTTCATTAGTATCAACTAACCACTTTTTGAGGACAATTTTGTTAACAGAAATCTCAATTTATTTTTTGTTTTGTTTATTTTGTATATTTAAAATGTCTTCCAGTTCCAGTGTTAAATGTTCATTAGAATTTTATATTGATCTTTGCTTATGTGTTCTTTCATTTTTATGCCATCACTATTATATTAGTTGAAAATGGTATTAAAAAAAACCCATTATCGTTTATCACAATAATTTCTGGGACAATTTATCATCCAGCAAATTGTGACAGGCCTAACATGCCAACTACCCTGAGGATTCATGACAGTGCAGCAAAGAGCATGATGGGAGATAAAGGAGTGATTGACAGCACTAAGGCCCGCCTCCTGGCTCTGATTGGTTGTTTCCAAACAGCACTGGGAGTTTGATTATCTGTCTCATCTCATACTGTCACAGAATATTAACAAAAAAAAAGTTACATACTGCAGCTTTAGCACACAAAGCTTCTCACACACGAATAAATCGATGACACAGATCCTACAGGTTGCATGCGTCTTAATTTTCTCCCAGCAGGAATGCAGAACAAATGTCTTTTTTTTTGACGCACAGCAACGTCTCAGCATTTTTCCACAGGTAAGCAAGCGAGTCGTGGAGAGGACAGCCACACCTCTGCTCCGTCAGCGGGAGGAGGGGCTGCTGCAGCCTGAGGCAGAGCAACAGAACTGATGGGCGCCCTCGTCCTCGCCCTCCTCACTGGGGAGGCGACAAACATGGGACAGCAGGCGGACGAGAAAAAAAACAGAGGAAAAACGTGAAAAACGAAGCATGAAGCAAGCAGGTGGGATCCCGTCCTTACTAGTGTGGGTGGCATTAAGGAGATAAAGCAGGAACAAAAAAGGCATCTGGGTTAGTTTACTCTGCAGCTGCCTTAGTGCCAGTAGGTGGCAGTGTTGCGGCGCTGTGTGCTGGAGAGCAGCATCAGCTGAGGGATAAGTGGAGGAGATAAAAGAGGCAAAGAATCACCGGGTTTACTTGTGACTCAGTCAACCTCAGTCCTACAGCTTTACTGGAGATCACTGCTTCCTCTCGCTCCGCACAGGAGCGATGTGCGTTTTTCTGAGCTTGCAGAACAGCAATTTATTAGTCACACCTGGGAGGTGGGAGACTGAAGCACAAGTTTCTACGATGGGTGGAGGAGGTAGACAAGGATTAACTATAAAAAAATATAAAGAAAGAAAACACTAGAAATGTGACAAATGGGGCGGTTTTGCTGGGTTTGGATGACTGACAGTGCCTTGCAAATGTTTATTTTACATCACAACCACAAACAAAAATGGATTTAATTAGGATTTCATGTAATGTATCAAAACAAGCGATACAGGATTTTTTGTGTATGGCCTTCTTTCCTCTGATATCCCTAAATAAAATCCACATCTGTGTAATTTAATCTCCAAAATAATCCAGCTGTTCTTAAACTCAAGGTTTTTTTTTTTTTTTGAGAGGATTAGCAAAAAAACATCATGAAGACCAATCAGGGTTAAGTTGCAGAGAAGTCTAAAGACAATCTGCAATTATGTCATCAGCTTTGAACAATTCTCAGAGATCATGAAAAGTTTGGAAAAACTGCAAACCAGACAAGACCTGACCGTTCATATAAGCTGACAAACTGCAACATTTTCAGCTGCTGCGGTTCGGTTTCACATTGAATTATCAAACAAACTAAACCCTTTGAAAAACCTGTTACTCTCCTCGCCTGTGGGGGCGCTGCAACAAGAACTACTGAAGGAAACAACACAAAAAAATCAGAAGACGACTAGCGCAACTTCCTTCTCTTCACAAAATGCAAACAAAATGGAGTAGCGTCAGATTTTAGCATTGTAGAATTTCTCTTTTGTCAATGGCTAAAGACCACAAGTCATTTTTCCTGCTAGCGCCAGATTCTCGTTTTGTTTTGGTTGTATTTACTCAGAATGCTCTACACTGTAGTCCACTTCCCACTTTTGTCCGATTTCGGTTTGATTATGCATTCACAGTTCCATAAACAAACCGGACTTCAAGGCAAATGAACTAGAGTTTGATTAAAGTGGACTAAACAGGGCTGGTGTGAATGCACCCTAAGAGTCGATGATATATATTTGTTGTTTCTAAAAATGATTTCCATCCAATATGATTGAATTTGCGTTATTTACAGTAGAATGAGCAAAAAATCTCTAAATGACCAGAACTAATCAGATTTTTGTTTGAGAAAACTAAATGAAAACCATGAGTCATTCATCTTCCACTTTACATTTAAAAAATACTTTGTTTGTGGTTGTAATTTGAAAAGATTCTAGGGGGGAAAGGTAGCAGAGGTTGCAAGGTAGTTGGTTCTTAATCTTTGTCCTCGGGTCTGCTTGTTCTGCTCCAGCACACCGACCCAAATGCTGCAGAAATTCATTTAAATTAGGTGCAGCATGCAGGACAGGGGGGCCTGATGCTGCGTTCCAGGCACCTGGGAACTTGTAACTAGTTGGGTTTGACGTCAGACCCGAGGTAACAGGGTTCTAGTCGAAGTGAGATTTTCAACATGGCGACGTTCATAGACGTTGTTTGCAGAAACTCTTACAAACATAATTTTCAGCCTTACTTTTCACAAACAAACACCAGTTTTAATTTGCTCAGTTTAGAGCTACAGGCGCTAAATGTAGCACTGATTTTAGACGCACTCTTATGTCTGTATTGTAAAATAAATACTTTTCCAACACATCTTACTATGGGATGTCGTTTGTAAAGTTTCACTGTAAAAAATTAACAGGTATTATTTGCTTTATTTAGCCTGTAATAGATGAAAATGTAGGTGTTCATTTCTCCCAAGTCATATTGTCACCATTTGTAAATCTCAGAGATCCAAACTAATTTTTTTATTTGAAAGCTTAATATTAAGTTTCAAAACATTTACACTGCATTGTCAAACAAATATTAGTAAACAATGTTACAAATGTTTAGGTTGTAAACTAAATTTTAAATTTGTACTTATGTTGTCAGATATACAAACTAAACATTTAGTTTGTAAACTATGTATTTATTTTCTACATAAATATTTATTCATAAATAAATGTAGGAATAAATAAATTCCTAAAAAACTAAAATATAACTACTTGTTTATTGAGTTATAAATAAATTTAGTAAAATAAATATTTAGTTATAAATACAGAAAATTATAACTAAATATTTAGATATAAATAAATAATGTTAGCTATATTTATTTAGGAACTAAATATTTAGTTTGGAAACTAAATATTTAACACTGACTAAATATTTAGCCTGTAAACTAAATATTTAGCTTATTCATTAAATATTTAGTTTAGAAACTAAATATTTAACATTTTGACTAAATATTTAGTCTGTAAACTAAATACTTAGCTTGTTAATTAAATATTTAGTTTGGATCTATGACATTTATAAATATATGAATAACATGAAGACAATCTGAATTTGAAAAAAGAAATCCTACATTTTCTTCTTTATGCTAAATAAATTAATGTTAATTTTTTACTGTATAACTTTACAAGCAGCACCCTTATCCTGCTACTGCTAGCAGCGGCCATATTGAATCATATTTACAGGTCCTAACTGGAGGAAGTTGGAGTTGCTCCCAGTTTCCCAGAGTTCCAGTTGATTTTTTTGATTGGGAAGTCAGAATTTCCCAGCTCTGAGAGCAACTGGAACGCAGCATGAGGACCGAAGCTGAGGACCGCTGCTCTACAAGACGCCTCTTCACCAGTGGGAGGTTCTGCTTCCTGTACACTCACCTGTTGTCCTGCTGCAAACTTTGGTCAGCAGACGGGCAGCAGTACTGGTGGAGGCTGCCAAAGCTGTGAACGGTCAGACTGGTTGGAAACGGAGCGGGGAAGGCGGTACCGCTCACCGCAGTGGGTGTGGTGGGAGCCGAGGTGGGCTGCCCCGAGACAGACGGAGGCCGGATACTGACAGCGAGGTTTCAGAGACGGACGACACACAGAGAGAGAGGGAGAGAGAGAGAGCGGCATGGAGAAGCAGAGGGACACAGAGACACAAATGATCAGCGCAGAAGCAGAAACAGTGACAGAAAGCTGCACACTCATGGCAGAATGATCAGAGAAGCAATGGCCGCTCTGGAAGCAAACAGGAGATGCAGATGTGTGACAGTTTGGAGAGACAGGAGCAAGGTGACAAACTTCATCTGAGCCACACAAACAAAACGGGTTGATTCCCCTTCTGGAACATCAACGACTTATAATGGGATTAAACCTGAACACTAAAGGTTTATGCTTCCCCCAACCAGGTTAGGATAGATATATGAGCTACACAAAATCATTTTTTAGATTTTAGTCTGGTCAGTTCTGCCAGATGTTGAGCTCCTTTCAGAATGAGCCATTTTTAAAAAAGTCCAACAAAAGACTGAATTTTCAAATCATCCTGTGGTTAGAAAACCTGTTAGTTTTAAAGATGTACCATTATTTAATGTGCTGTCCTTAATTAAATAAGCCTGCTGAATTGCATTTAATTTAACGAGCTGTTTAAGGGACTCTTGTCACTTAAATCCAAATAATCTGCTGCTGGCCAAGCCCACCAACTCACCTTTACACTCACACATGAAAATGGCTGCAAATAGATGTGCAATTATACAACCAAACATCTTTGAAAAGCATTAGTAGAGCCTCCTGCACAACCAACAAGAATGTACACACTGCTTTCTGAATGGCAAGTCAATAACAAAACATGCATCTTTTCCAGCAGCCATTGAGCAGCGCATAAAACCAGCTGACCAAACGTGATGGAACTCAGCTTGGGTTGCTAGGTAATGGGGTTTGGCTTCCGTTAGGGTTGCTAGGTAACGGTGCAGTGACTCAATAATCAGTAGGTTTTTGAAATGGCTCATTTTCCAGGCACTAAAAAACATGAACTTGATGCCAAAAACTGGCTCAGTGGCAATTGAGAACCAAATGGAAGTAAAAACAAAAAAAACATTTAAAAAATGTGAAATTTGCACGTAGAATTCAAGAAAACTGAATGTTTTAAATGTTCTGCTTCTTAAAAGAAGAGGAGTTCTGTTGGATTTCAGAAAAGCTCCTTTCTGGATCATCTTTTATGGAAATGGGAAAGCACTTTCTGTAATTCATGCAGGAGAAAAGCACATAAAAAACACAAAAGCCTCTCTCTCTGCTGCGCCTCTGCTCTGATAGGAATTAGAGATGTTCCATCTGCAGCTGAAGAGTGAGCAGCGGCTAGATTAGCATGTAAATGGCTGGTTCCTCACTGCGGCCAGCTGCTTTCAAGGACAGACAGTCCACTTTAGCATGTTAGCAGTCTCTGAAAGGGGAAAAAAATCCACAAAGTGGATGAAAAACGAAACAAGATCCAGAAATGAAGAGTCCGATGACGTTTTCCAGTTTTGCACTGTGAGCTAACCTTATGTCGTTTCAAAATAAAACCACTGATTGTAACTGCAGAAGAAATTTCACCCAGGATTGTTGCATTACGTAAAAGAGGGAAACACATCCTCCACTGAGTGACAACCGCCTTCATTAGTATGAATTGTAGCTTATTTCGAGCTGAGTCGACTCTCGCCCTCCTGCCGCCGTAAACGCTCACCAAGTCAGCGGCTAAAAATAGCCGCCATGACAAACGTAGTATTTACTCCCGCTTCAGTTAAAAACTACAGAGTCAAGCTGTTTCACAAGAACCACTAATCCCTTTTACTTCCCACGTTCATTATAACCCGCTGACCTCTGGAGCTGCTTATGTGGAAAAAAATGAATTTACAAACAGTGGAAGAAAGAAACGCTTCACATAAAACCTAACGAGGTTTTACAGTTTCTGATTCAGGAAACAACCAGGAGGTGAACAAGATGGAGAGGAACTCACAACACTTAGAAAGAAAAACACAAAATCTTACTTATTTTTAGTTGAGTTTCTAATGCAAATATCTTTGTCTACTTGAAATAAGAAAAAAGTAACTTACATGGACCTTTTCAGCAAGAT